TACGGAGTTTTGTCTTAACATGGAACAAAACCGTCATATTGCCTTCGCGTATTATGTGCAGACTGAAAATCTATTTTTCTACATAGTACAGTATTTCGTTTCTACATAGTATAATACGTTAAGGAGAGATTCCGTTTTTTACAAGTTTCAAAAAACCATCGACACAAAACCCTTTAAATGAGCTACTGCTGGATAGGGAATCACAGACCAGTCCTACATCGAGCAGAATTAAGAAGAGAAATAGGTGTTTGCAGATTACGACGTACGGAGTAGATTACTGCAACGCACATTTCAATAGACCGTAAGTTGGAAACAATGCGTTCTACACCCTTAAGGTACTCGTCTTCCTCAAAATGATGTTTTTCCGTGAAAAATTGGAATTTTTTTAAAAATTGTTTCTTGTGCATTGGAATGTATACCTTTCAATACTTAAGACCATTTGTTTCTAAGTTTAATAGTTTTTAATTTATCGGTACTTTTCCGAATGCACGCGCATATGCCACGTCCCACGGTCATTTGCAGTTTATCATGATCGCTAAAAATGAATTTATTTTGATTATTTTGTGAAAAATTTTAAAAATGCATTTTAAACTAATGTACAGTCCTTATGTAGTAACATTAAAAGCAGAATATCCATTTTGGACAAAATTCTGTGTAGTAGTTATGGATTTAGTGTTCACAGACCATTTTAGAGCCAATTAATTTTAATCTGGCTCTTCCAAGAAGTTACTTTTTACTTACTCGCCTTTTTTCTTCTTTGACCTTATTTGAAACATCTTGATGAAATAATTAATACTATTTTGTTAATAAATATTTTTGACTTTGTTAATTCCTAATCCTACGAGTAAGCATATTTGAATTCAGATATACGCTACAAATAAACATTTTAAAATTCAGGTAGACGAGTACCACAAAACCAAGTTTTCTTGTCCCGGAGAGGCACGAGTTTTGAGGGAACAGGTGGGAACGTAAGAGTGACAGTGGGGGACATGGCGTGGGAAAGGTAGGGAAATGAGGGGGACATTTGAAGACGATTTTTGTTCCTTAAGACGTTTTTCGCTAATTGAGACACTTTCAAACTTCTGTTTCATTTTTGGAGATTAAGCTCTTATGAGGACTTCCACGCAGGGACTCGAAAAGCAGTATTTCGATATCTATGAAACAATTAAGTTGAAGGAATAGAGATAAAAATACTGTTTCATGACAAAATTAGAGCGACTATTTTTTAAAAATTTCTTTTGATTGATATTTAAACACAATAGCCATATTAAAATGATTATTTATTTACAATGCCGAGGAATAATGCTGTAATGCACTGTTCAAGGGATGGTAGTTCGAAGATAGCCAGTAAAAAATTAATTTCACTTTTAAAACGATTATTTATGAAACGATGAATGTTCGCCTAAGTCCACAGGTGGATAATTACTAAGTCTTGTAATTATTATTACTTTAACATAAAAATTACTAGACGGACTTATTAACATATGGTTTAGTATATGATTTCCATGACAAATCATTGTTAGTGGTATGACATTTCATGTAATGTGGAATGTAACTTACCATTGCATTCTTTGTAGCTACACTGAAAATTCACTTACTATATTTAGATTAATATTACTTACTTGATATAATGCAGACGAATTCCAACACTCCACGTCATCGGGACCACTTAAGAATATTGATGTTCTTGCTCATTGGTGGTCAAACGTTGTTGGAGTGGTATATTTATCTTAACTAAAAGTGTGCATGGAAAAATATTGAGGTTTTCAAGCATGTCAACAAATGCTGTGGTCACTAGCGCCGTTAATGTAGTGAATGTCCTTTTATGTTCTGGGAGGTGTCATCGTTTCTCCTCCGCTGAATGGTGAGATCCGGCACTGACCTTCACGTCAGTTTCCGGAGGCTTTCTCCTCAGTATCTCCCCACAGCCGGAACAACCTCTAAGATTCCCACTGCTCTCCTGACATGCGCGGGAGAGTAGTAGTGCACGTGTGCAGGGAAAATGATAGGACAAGCAGGAGGAAGAAAAGATCGCGTGTGGTCCATGGCCCGTTTCTTAGGGTACTGCACCAGCATCTGTCTGGTATTGATCAGAGAAACGTTGGAAAACTACCGATCAGACATGCCGGCCGTTAGCATTCTCCATCAGACGCTGAAATCGTTAAAACTGTCCAGCCAGTGAGTAAAATCACCCACCGTCGGGATTCTAACTCAGCACTTCTCAGTCTGAGTCACTGTACAGTGAACTCCGAGCTTATCTCAGCCCGTGTAAGGAAAAATCATTATCTGTCGTTTGTTACTAAAAAATCGCCATTTATCGTAATTATTTGTCACTAGCTAAGCCTGGCATCTTCGGAGTAGGTACTCATTTTCATAATTCTTAAGTGTTGCAAGTTCATATTAAAACCCAAGTTAGGTGGCTCGTCTATCCTCGGAAACAGAGAGTTACATGAAAAAGTATCGATAGAAGTACTTTTTAAAACAAATTGTATGTATCACTACATTAGTGATGTAACTGTAGTCAATATAGGGAATCATTTCATAATGAACAGCAAAAGTAATTTAGGATGAATCCACAGCGTTTCGGCACTTAAGTGGATTGCCAAAGCACGTTTTTTTCTAGAATTCGTCCAGAATATTCTAGCAGGATCCAGCAAAAAGAAGAGAAAATCGATTGGACTTTTCGAGAGCTATCGTCTCCATATGTGGCTTTAAAATTTTACAAAAATGTGTTTTTGTTGCTTAATGCCCAAACGCGTTTTCTCAATATAACAAGACAGAAGTGGTTATCAACAATCGTCAATGTGATGAATCAAGTCCTAACAGTTCATGTGAAGCTGGAAAGAGAGTATAGTAATTCACAGCGTTTCATCAAAGTTCTGGTAGTTCCGTTGAAACCATAAAAACACGTGTTTTACTAGAACTCTTTCAGAATATCCTAGAGGGAACAGACTAAGAATTGTGTCAATCGATATGAAGAGTCAAACACCTCCATAGGTGCTGAAAGTCACCAAAAACGCATTTTAGCTCCTTGAAAAACACGATTTTTAGAGACATTTCTTAAAATCTTCTACAGGGATCCACAAACAGAAAATCAGGGCGCGTCGAATGACACCGCACACTCTATTATAGAAGGCCAAAGGAAAGTTCTAGATATCTCAGGAAAGCAAAACTGAATCGACCAATAATTCTAAGTGTGTTGTATGTTATACGCAAGTGTTAATGGGGTTATATGACATATCGCAATGTAGTTGCTGTACTGATATTTATCTCTCTGCTTTTTAGTGAGACACATTTGTAACCCATGTAGAAAATAAATTATATCAGTGCAACTGCCTTCATTGATGAATCCGAATAACGATGACACATCAAACATTATTTCGCATTTTGACATAATGTTGCAATTTTACGACGATACTACGTGTAGTTAGTGTACACGTTATGTTGTAATGTCTTATCGTCTACGAAAACACTTTTAGATGTACATTCATATTTTTCAACTCGCAGAAAAAATAAGAGGGAAGGTGTTCAGCATATATAAAAAGTGCTGGTTTACGTATATTCATTTTAGAAAAATTAATGGGAATAATGACACTTAAACGTTATAAAGTATACTGAGAGTTAGCTACAGGAAAAGGATAAATAAAACACAAATATATCTATAACATCACACTTATTATTATGATTGTTCTACAAAACATATTAAACGTGACCTTCCCTACAAGAGTCAATGATAAAATATAATTAACAACGAAACAAAAACACATACGGAACATACGAGCAACAGTTCTCTAATGACACCACTGATAACAGATGTAGTAACCTCCGCAATGGAATGATGAGCGCGATGAGGCACTAGTCTGAGCACTGCTACGAAAGGAAACAAGGCGTGCACGGCGAGGCGGGCGCGGCGCGCGACGGCAGGGCGTATTTGGAGGCCTTGTAGCGGAATAAGGCATCACAAGGTCGAGGGAGGGCGCGGGAAACTGCTCCTCAGTTCCGGGGAGTGGAACAGCGGCTCAAGTGGACCGTAAATCCCGTTGGTTGTCTCTACACTGCAGAAGGTATTTCACAAAATGGTATTTCTTGCGCGTGGTTTAGAGCGTTCCTGGGTTTTCTTCTATTTCATTTTCTCCTTTCTTTGTCAGTAATTTATTATACGTCAAGGACATACATTCACAAAGAAAATAATTTAGTGTGATATTACATGATAATACACATGTCACATTTGTAAAGATGCGCCTCTGCAAAATCCTAGAACTTGCATTATTTATCTTGTAACTACCTAAAACTTTCTGCAGAGACAAAAGTTATGGACCTTAATCACACTGAGCCTTATCTCCCTGGAAACCTTATGGGTTCATAGAACATTTTTAGAGATTTCGTACTTAACTCTCCATTAATTACATTTAACAGCTATGGAAGCCGTGTGGACGGATTTCAATTCACGGTGAATCAGAGGTCTTTGACATTTATGGAAAAGACATTTCCTTTCGTCCGCAAGACGGCAGCGTTATATCTTTATATAAAAAGATAAAAACTATGAGATACAAGTGGATAACTACAAAATGATAAGATATAAATTTTTGGAAAATGTTTTTTGAAACTAAAACGAAATTGCGTTGTAATAGAGATAGTTGCTGAACAAATTATATCATTTCATTTTCAATATAAAGTACATCTCCAGTGAACTTAGAAGTGCTCAACTAAACACCCAAATGCAGCTCTACCAAATCCCTCTAATCCGACATCACCCCCGAAAGAAGGGTTTCAGAATCTCAATATCATTTGTTAGAAACAAACACGAGATTATTCCATAGTACAAAAACGTGTCTACTAACTTTTTATGTATCACTTTTGAGCTTAAGGACGAAATCTCCACGTACGCTTAATTACTCTGATTTCCACCGCGCGTTCTCCCACAAGCTCCCGCCGCCGCCGCATGCCGCCACCGCCCGCTCCAATAAATACGTCTACTCCGCCCGGCGGCGGGATGCGCCTCAGCTGATGAGGTCCCCGTTCTTGCGCAGCATCTCCAGGCGCAGCTCGTGCTCGCGGGCCTTGAGGCGCAGCGCCGCGATGCTGGAGGTGCGGCGGTCCAGGTCGGGGGCGGTGGCTCCGCCGCCGGCCGGGGGCGAGCCGCCCCCACCGCCGCCGCCGCCGCCTCCGCCGCTTCCCACTGACGCCGCGACGTGACGGCCGCCGCGGCCGCCCCGCCGCGCCGCCCCGCCGCCGGACACCGCGCGCCATGCCGTGGCGGCGCAGCAGCGCGCGGTCTGCTGGTATCTCGCGCCGCGGGCCCGGCCCGCCCCGCCCAGCTTGGAGCCGATGGCGGCCGGAGATGTCTTGGCGAGGAAGCTGTGGAAGGAGCCCGAGTGTACCCAGCGGGCCCTGAGGCTGGCGCAGCAGCGGCGGCGGCGGGCCGTGGCCTCGGTGCGCGCGAAGGCGCGCGGGGGCGCGGCGTGCGCCCCAGTTACGCCGCCGCCGGCAGCATGTGCCCGGTGGGCAGCGTCGGGTAGCGGAAGGCCGCCGCCAGCCCGCCCGCGCCGTCGAAGGGCTTGCGCAGCCCGAAGCCCAGGCTGAACGGGTTGGGCAGCGACGGCGCCACCACCGTCGACGGCGGCTGCGGCGCGCCCGAACTCAGGTACGGGTTGTAGGGGTGGCCTTGCGGACCCACCTTCTCCTGCTTGCGCCACTTGGCACGCCGGTTCTGGAACCACACCTGCAACAACAAGAACAACATTCAGTTATTAAATGGCATCTTCACCATTAAAATCACACTTTCTTGTACTATTGAGTTTGAAAGAATTGTAGTACAATTTAAAATAATTAATAAGCAGTTCAGCTAAATCTGTAATCAATCTGTGAATCTTTATTTCAACTGTCAGCGAAAAGTGAACATGTGAACTTAAAGACGCATACCAATTTCATTTCTGTAACTAGAGAACACCAATTCGGTGAGGTGGAGGTCAACGATGGATCCCAGAATAATTTGCAATATAAATGAAGGAAAAGTGTTTATTTTTAAGAAGCAATGCTACATTATTTTGAAGAATATTACAATGTTTTTTTGCAAGTTTGTGTTACAATATTTTCAGTTTTTGAGGTGCAGCAAAGGCATGTACTGTAGATAACACGGAACTTTTTCTGTCCTCAGGTATTTTATGCGAGGACACATGATATGTATTCTATATTATAGTTATATTACAGAAATGTTGTTTTCAAGAAATATTTCAACACCTCTGTTTTGCTCCGAATTACCAACTGTTCTCTACATTGGTAGATGTTAAAATAAGATTGCGGTATGTTTATATGCATATCACAGAACGACGGAGTTTCCATGAAGTGGTTATGTCAAGGAGACATAACAAAGAAGGTACATTTTTTTATGAACATCCGACAAGCGTTGAAACAATGGGTTAAGGTAAGTTTTAATAATAAAAGTCAAAAACGATGAAAAACAAACTCCATATTTACACAAAAATAAAACAAAAAAATATACGGGGGTCCGTTGTTCGACACGTTTATTTCGTAATTTTATTATTCGAGTTGTGACAGTAATCCAGTCCACAAACAATATGATATGGAAAATTCAATGGAGGGTAACAACATAGCTAGTACAAAAACGTGAGTAATTAAACACTTTTGAAAAGTTGCGAATACTTATGTGCATTTGAAAATTTCTTTTATTTGCATTGAAATTAACGTAGTATCTTCCATATTTAAGTCAGAACTTTTCCACTCGTACATTGCCTTGGTCATAATCAGAGCTACAAAATAACCAAGCGTGAAGTATTATATTTTATAAACAATTTTTATACGAAAGTAAATAAATTAGCTTAAGTGAAAACTATGAAGACGAACATTTCACATTCTTACTATTTTTAATCAAACAATTTTGTGATGGCCATGTCAATCACAAAATGGAACGGAATACGGCAACTAAATTTGTAAATAACCAACTAGGTTTTCGCGAACAGATGTCGTGAAAATCGTAAACATCATCCGAACTAAACTTCCGCGCTTTGTTATAACTACTGAAGAGCATGCTAAAGTCAATGAGTGTAGACGTTTTCAAATACTGAGCAGCATGCTGATTTCAAAGCAAAATAACAAATCGGTTGGACTTCGCGCTGAGGGAGTTTAATGAGCTACTTCGAACCATCGTTCATTGAAACACCCTACATGCTCCGTGTTATTATTCATCTCTTGTTCGTCAAGTGCGCATCATAAAACTGTCGGAGGAAATATCCATCTCCGATGCCGGCGCTCGGCAGGGGGTGGAAGGCGGGCTAATTGGCGTTTGACCAGGCGAGGCCGGGGGAGGGCCCCGCGGGCAGGGCGGGGCGAGCGGGGGAGGGGGCGACGCCGTGGGCGGCGCCCCACCGCCACGGAATGAAGTCACGATTAGGAGGGAAATTGAACAACAACAAAGAACCACGGAGCTCCGTCTCGCGTAAGGGAATCCAAAGTAGTCATTACGGGCGCGGGCTTTATCAATGGACGGACGGGACGGGACGAGACGGGACGAGCCGGTGTTTCTTTGTGCCGGCCGAAGGTCGCCTCGGCGGTGACCGTGGCGGCACTTCGCGGAGCGGAGGGCAGTGGGCGAGGTGCGGATTGCCCAGGCGCGTCGCGATTGTTCTGGCGAAACGGGACGGGGAGGGGGACTTCGCGGTCGCCGCGCCTTTTCGAGATTCGAGAGTTCGTGAGAACCGACACACATTAGGCGCTATTCATTGTTCTTCGGGAAAGGAAAGATTTGAGGTAGACGCGATTTTCGAGGGTATGGTGATCTCGAGATAATGATGTACGTAACAACTGCAGGTAATGTGTTGGCAATAATTTTCCGGTGTGAGTAGCGATATGGTGTTGAAGGGATTTTTCGACATTTCTGAGATACGGTTTGTTTTCAGTCGGTTGAGATAATTTTATCGGTGTTTTTGGGTAGCGCACAGATGCCCGGGAAATCCCACTTGAATTGACTTTTGAAGGGAAAGAAGCGTGTCTTCCACAGGTGTGACGTAATTTATCATATGCATAAGATATTTTAAATATTTGTAAACACTGGGATACCAATTAATGATTAGTACAGAGCTGAAAAAGTTCTACTTGCTAATAAATAAATTTAAAAAATTAAGCGAAGTAGGTCGAGTCAACTACGAAAGAAACGCGCAGTCTTCTTTCAACGGAAATCCGTTGAACCTTGTAAGTGCTTCACTGGCGTGCAGGAGGAACATCAATTGATACTTCTTCTTCTTCCCTTACTCTCAATCGACCAATTTCTACAACAGGCTCGTTCAGCAAATACGTCACAGCTCAGCCGTGAAATACAAGACCAGAAAACCGCAAGTTTCAAACAATGTGCAACAGAGTACGCTGTAGATTGAACCGAACTAAAAACAAGCGGAGAAAAACACAACAAGTACATGGAACACGGAAACCTCCCACAGATTAGAACACATTTTGAAGAGGAAAAAAGACTATACATAACGTTGTCAAAATGGAAATACAAGGGCTAGTGAGAACGCTTGTGTTAAATGAACGATGAATGTGATGTTACACATTTTGGTGATATCTATATTGATAAATCACTCAATTTATAATATCTTCAAATATGTCTTGTAGGTGATGAGGGCATCTCAGAAACCGCCAGTCAAAACTTGAAAGAGTATGACGCAGCAATGAATCGTAAATGAATGACTTAAAAGGAGTCGCAAAAATTTTGCCTATTTCAATTTCCTAGTTTTGTCCGCTGGAAACTTCCACGAGATTACTGGCGTAAAATAGTCAATTGAGTATAGACATATATATCAAGGCAGTAGGAAATGCATTAAATCATTAAAATGGTTCTTTTCAGATTAAAAATCAGTAGAAGTGGATTGAAAATTGAACACATGTATAACCTGGGATAGTTTGGTTTTCAGATGTTTTCTTGAATTCTTTTTTGTGTACCACATTTTAAATTTGATACAAAATTATTTACAACGTGTTTTAAAAATACAAAAGATCAAGTAATTTGCAAAGAGAAAAAATGTCATATTACAAAGATGAAATTTAAATAAAAAGTCATCTTTAATGAATCAAGAACTAGGCAACTAACATTTTACAGATAATCATTCCATCACGTCGCGTCAGATTTCTCTTTTTCAAATATGAGGCCCAAAGTAAGTACCCAAAACCATTTAAAATGTCTGAGCTATTTAAAACAATACTTATGATTGCTTCGGAAGTAATTTTATTTATATGAAAAACGCACCATATATGCGCATGCAATTAAGTTAATTAAATTATCTTTAAAAACGTCAGACGTTCAAGTCTGCAATAATGTAGTCAAGTCTGTAGAGTTGTAAGAAATCATTGCAGCCTCCGGGCATTGAAGATGTTAGATACAGAAAAACTCCAGAAAATATACCAAAATAATAAAGATTTGGATTGAAACTTTTAAATGTTTGATAGTTTATTCACCTATTCTCATAGTGCGGTACCAACTGAATTATTATAATCAGTACGTGTCTGCTTGACTCTTGTGTCTGCGTGTCTGCTTTCCGCATGAGACAGTAAAGCTCTAAGAAAATTAAGGAAGCAATTAAATGTTTGCTTTTTACATGTTGCTTTCTGGGTATGTAAAGAACTGTTTTACTCTGTATATATTATACAAAGTAATTGCAGTATTCATGAAGACTGTTTTTGTTAAGATATTTGCAGTGTTACAGAGTATTGGATTGACATTGAGCAGTGTGCGAGCTACTTTTTGGAAAATCATTTTGTGTGATTTTCTTCATCAGCTTCTTTAGAATGGTATACAAATGTGTACATCTAATTAGCGAGTTGAATATTGCTATGCAGATTGGAGAGTGTTAATAATAAAATGTAATAATGTAAAATAATAAATAATATGTACTGCTGTATTAATTATGTTAGTAAATATTTAGCTATTATTATGTTGATAATTTAGAATAATATAAAATAAAAAATACCATCACAATCTTTTAATTCTCTATATGCACGAGATGTTTGTGTTCCTGAGGTGAACATCATTTAAGATATGAGTAAAAGTCTATAAGGCACTACAGGTTTCCCCGTTGTAGATTCCACATTCGCTAGAGATCATTTACACGCACGACGTAAAGTAATCACAACACACTGATGCATTGAATTTACAAGTGTTATACAGTACATATATTGTATATTTACTCAAAGAATTTTATGTTAGGAAACGCATCCTTTGAATAATGACTTCTGCAAACATTAGTTAAAATAATGCGTTCTTCCTGTAATAAAACATTTCCCGCAGAGGTCTCAGCCAAACGGAAAGGAACTGCCTCTTCCGCCCCTTACGAATACCTCCGCGTGCAGCCGGGTCCCGTTCTCGGAACGCGCCCGCCTACCCCCACGCAGTGCGTGCGCACCGCCCGCCCCGACCTGCCCTTGCCCTTGCCCGCACGTCTCGCCCGCGCCTTCATGGCCCTTCCCCGCCCCGCCGCCGCAGAACACACGGCGCGCGCTTCTCGCAAGAACCGTCATTACCCCCTACCGCCGCCGGCCCGCCTGCATCTCCCGACGATTCACGCGCCGGGCCATTTAGGTCATCAAATACATTCTATGCACGGTAGCAGTGTCCGATACCCTTTTCGGGGCGACATTACCGCGGCGGCGACGGGCCTTGCATTAGCGTATTTCCGAGGCGCCTCCCGACGCCGCTGCCCGCTGAGCCTTCGC